AGTTCTACACTGGTTTAGCGCTTCCTCTTCTCCACCCAAAATTTCGTCTGTCTCACCTCCGGACAGACTTCAGTCGAGACTATGATTTCACCTTCTAGGACCCAGCGTAGAGTGACCCGACGAACGACTACTTACCCCCTAGACCAAGCGATTGGACAGACCCCGGAAGGCGCTCCCAGAAGAGGTCGGCTATCCTGGTGTATGACCGACCTGTCTTGGTGGTACACGTCGAGAAAACCGACGAGTAGGAAGGGAGGAAGTCAAAAGGAAAAGACCACACTCCCGCGTCTAGTTGAGGCTTGAGCTCTCTCTCCCTTCTCCAAGACGAAAGACGAAGTCTAAGTTTTCAGTGCCAATTACGTAGTAGACCGAGTTTCGAAGTCCATCGTTTACCGTTACTCGTCAAGAAGACTGGACCCGAGGAGGGCGTGTTCGTTGTATTAATTTTATGTTTGTTATGTTTCGACGTTCTCAGATAAATCGCTACAGTTGATCTTATGCTATACATGTGAATCCAATAAATTTTTCGTAATTATTAGTTTCAATTTCGCTATAAATCGGTGGCGAGTATTGGATTGATATGTCAAGAAGGACACTAAATTATGTAAATAATTTCATGACATGAATTCAGTTAAAGACAATTACGACGGTTAGTGATGAGAAATGACAGCGGATGAAAGTGATCTAAGAACTACTCTTCTGAAAAGATGAAAGTGACTCCTTGTAAAACTAACGTCCTGAAAATGCATTGTCTCATAGAGGATGTGAGACCATTAAGATGACAATTCGAGTTCATGTTCTAGACTCATGACAAAGATGAAATGAATGTTCATTTCTAGACTCATGAAGATGAAATATATGTCTAGACTCATCGAAGATGGAAAATGAGTTCATGTCTCTAGACTCATGAAAATAAATGACTGTTCTAGACTCATAAGATGAAAAATGAGTTCATCGTAGCTACGACTCAGAAGATTGAAAGATCGAGTTCATTGCTAGCTCATGACAGATTGACAATGAGTCATGATCTCTAGACTCATGAAAGATAAAAATTGAGTCATGTGCTAGCTCATGAAGATGAAAATGAGTTCATGTGCTAACTCCATGAAATGAAAATCTGAGTTCTGTTGCTTTTAAATTGTCTATTGTTTTTACTTGACTTACTTTCCACGTGATGCGTTTGTTTATTTGCCTGTACAGCACTTTGGTCTGGAGGTTTGAAAGTGCTTTATAAATAAAGCTGTATTGTATTCAGGGTATAAGCAGGACTCCTGAAGTCACATGGAAGACCTTTGAAGACCTTTTTTTAAGACCCTTTCCTACATTTCAGACCTCATCGCCACGTTGAGTTCTAACTTGGAGTTCTAACCGGTTGCCTTGGCGACACACTTTACCTCACATTGACTATATTCAGTATTGATTGTCCTTCCTCCTTATCTTCCAACCATTTGGACGCAGACTTGCATTTCCCCATAACGATGTTGTTTAACAACCGGCTATCAAGCAGTGAGCGTGCGATGTCCTGTTCAGATCACGTCAAACCCAACGGGATGCCATAAATAAACTACACAGAATCACACTACACACCTACGCAATGATTACATTCAGGCACACTGTAGAAAACAACCTCTTTGGACCATTTATATACTTATTGGAAACAAGCTACAAAATGTAATACCTTGGAAAATGCCCTTTAATACTTTTTAAGACCCCGTGGACCCCCCTGTGTATTGTACTTTATTGATCCCAATTTAGGAAATGTTTTAAGGTCACAGCAGCAAGAGATGTTTAAAATGAAAAAGAGTAAAAAAATAAACAAATATCGTAAAAAATAGAAAATAAAACAGAACTAGAAAGCTAAATATATACACATAAAAACACTCTGTTACAAGTTAAATATGTCCCTGTTTATGTATTAGTGTATTTATATTGTGTATTAGTTAATATACTGCATCCATCAGAAGCTCAACCAGAACCAGGAGTGGAAGAAAGACCCAGATATTTTACTTTAGATTAGATTTATTGATCCCAATTTGGGACATGTCTAACGTCACAGCAAGAAGAGGGAAGAGTGAAAATAACATGAAATATAAACATCTGTGAATATTAAATGAAACAGGATTAAAGAGCTAAATAAATATACATACAGTGAAGGATATACATCTGTAGACTATCTGTCAAATGTAGTTAAAGCAGCCGTACTAAAGTGTACTAATACTCTGTTACAATACTTGAACCTATATGTCAGTTAACAACTAAATGATGGTCATATATATTCACATATTGAAAATGAAAGATGTGTAAATATACTCTGTTTCAAGTGAAATATGTACGTGTATATTCATTAGTGGATTTATACTGTGTATTAGCTAATAAGCTGCATCTGTAAAAAGCTGTCGTGGAGGAAAAACACAACATTGGCTTCTGAAATGTAGAGAAATAGAATAATAGAGACGCATGGGGAGGCTGTGGCTCAGTGGATAGTGCGCTGGACTTCGAATCAGGTTGTAGCAAGTTCGAGTCCCACTGCAGTCAGCATGTCGTTGTGTCCCCTGAGACACTTCACCCCAAAGTGCTCCTGTGGGGATTGCCCACAGTATTGAATCGCTTTGGATAAAAGCATCTAACAAATGACATGTAATGTAACATGTAATAAGCATGACATGGAAATACTGAGGTCAAATAACTTAAAGTACTTTATTATGTTCCACAGCTGACTCAAAGACGCCTCTCAGATCTCAAAGTGCTTTAGTTCTGCTAATCCTTCTGAAAGTGCTCTAAAAACACTGTAATGTTGACTTTAATGATGTTTACATCAAATATCACATTACTGTATACGGTTAGTTGAAAGCAATACTCTTAAGTTGAACCTGTATTTATTTAATTTTTGGGACGAGGAAAAGACATCTAATTAATCCAATCAGACTCGAGCTCGCTGGTCAGTGTTTGTGACAGTAAAGCTTTTTGAATTATTGATGCCATCCCTCCCTTCCTGTTCTCACACGGCATGAAGATTTAAAACAGTCTCCCCTCCCCTCTGTGTGTGTGTGTGTGTGTGTGTGTGTGTGTGTGTCTCAGGCCTTGTGAAGCTGGGCGTTCACTGTATAACGGGACAGAAAGTGGCGATAAAGATCGTGAACAGAGAGAAGCTTTCTGAGTCCGTCCTCATGAAGGTAAGGATTTTTTTTTATTAATGACCTCATCTGCTCGTCCATCTGTCTGCGGGCTGCGGGGATTAATTATTTATTTCATGCTTCGGTGGAAAAGCAGCTATCCTGTGCAAGAAACAAATGATTTCCCCAAATGATAGGTCCTAATATCAGCCTGTATGTAAAGCTAAGGCTAACTCCATTAATCAGATGAATCGTAGGATGCTAGCATTATCAAAGATTCAAAGGTTTTATAGTCAGATGAATGTCGTGGAGGAAAAAGACAACATTGGCTTCTGAAGTGTAGAGAAGTAGTAGCATAAAATGATGTGTAAATAACAATATCACATATAACACAGCAGGTAAAAGAGAAATTAGAGCAACTCTAGCAGGAAACAGGAAGTTGTATTTGCATCAAAATGTTATGTCTGATGTTCTGCAGGATAATTATGTGTGTGTACAGTATTCTGATGGCTTTGAATTAGCATTAGCGTTAGCGTTTTAGCTCCCAGCAACAGTATTTGGTAGCTAATGTTGGACTATAGAGGAACTACAGCACGGTCACATGACTTCACGTCACCACCGCTAAGCTAAAGGTGGCTAATGTTGGGCTATAAAGGAACTACAGCACGGTCACATGACTTCACGTCACCACCGCTAAGCTAAAGGTGGCTAATGTTGGGCTATAAAGGAACTACAGCACGGTCACATGACTTCACGTCACCACCGCTAAGCTAAAGGTGGCTAATGTTGGGCTATAAAGGAACTACAGCACGGTCACATGACTTCACGTCACCACCGCTAAGCTAAAGGAGGCTAATGTTGGGCTATAAAGGAA